GGTGGGGGGGGGGGCATTACACAGAAAAATGTTCCGGTAGGAATTAATGAAAAAGGGCATACAGAGAGAGGGGATCTTCAATTTTCCTCTAAGGTTGGTACTGAAATTTCTGGTCTCCCAAATATATAGATCTTAAACATTACATGCTATATGTATGCATACAAAATTTCTGGTCTTATAAATATATTGATCAACCATAATGTGTTGTAGAAAAGACAAGTGCTTTGTTCCACAAAAAAAGATGGTTAGATGTGAGGAGAAATATAAACATCTAGTTAGTTCACATGTGCTTCAACATTCCTTGTGTTGCTATTTATTTTATTTCCAACATCTATCCCTTTTTTTGCGGGAATCTATCCATTAAATATTTGCACTGCATTGCGAGGGAAAATATACAATTGCACCGTTTAAATTACTGCTGCACAATCTATCATCACCATTACCAAGTTCAGCAGGAAAAAATGTCAATAAAAAATTTCTTTTTTTGAAAAGAGAGGGGTCGCCCCCCGCCCCAACTTTTATTAAGCCAAGGCAACGGCAGAGACCAGACTGTTGAACAGCTCTCGGCGACAACCAAAAGTAGCTGCCACAGAACAAACATCCATCAGGGTTTTTAGGCTACTACCCTATTACATCCCATAAGAGAGTCATACTCATGCAGACCACAACGCAGACGATAAGTCACTCAAGACATACACTAAACCCAAGCAATTCTAAGCAGTTCCCCTCTTTGACGCTCCAAAAGCCTTAAGCATCGGAGAAGTAGAGCACCCTGGGCCTCTGAAGATAAGATTTTGCACTGCCTGATTGTTGCCGCCACCTGTCCCAGCACACAGCGTATATCTCGCCATCTTCCCCCCTGAAAGACAAAGTCATTGCGTAACCGCCATAAGCACCACAAGGTAGCAGAAGTAACCATATTCACAGCTTCACATTGTTTTTTCCTCTTTTAAAAAGAAGTCAAGGATGAAAAAGAAACGGGAGGGGGAATGCTAAGTGCTTCGGCAACCACAGACCAGACATTAGATGCAACAATGCAATCAAACAGAAGATGTTGGATAGATTCCAACTCAGCACAGAGAACACAAGTTTTATCCTCAACATTTCTTCTTTTGGCCAAATTGTCTCTAGTAAGGCTTTTATTATTGTACATCAGCCATAAAAAGACATGGATATTTGGAGGGACTTTGATTTTCCAAATAAAATCTCTGATCTCAGAAGAACCCCCCCCCCCAAAGTTGATCAGTTTATAGAATGACTTAACAGAGTATTGACCATTTGATTCTAGGGCCCAGATAGGGCTGTCTGGATGATCTGAAAGGGTAGTTTGTGAAACCAAGCTAACTAAACATCCCCATTTCTGCATCATGGCCTCATCCACACAGCGCCTGAAAGTGAGACATAAGTTCACACCATCCCATACCTGGGACAAAGTGGCATCCTGTTGATGACAGATATCAAATAATTCCCAAAAAGCAGTTTTTAGGGAGCACCCCCCAATCTAGTTATCATGCCAGAAGGCAATGTTATCCCCATTCCCAGGATTCCATTTCCAGAAATTTTTTGCAGCAGCAAAAGCCCAAGAGATGCTTTTCCAGAAGGGAGACCCAGAGGCAGGTTTAGCATGGAAAATATTAGGTTTATCAGTAGCATATTTGAAGTAAAGAAGTTTTTTCCAGTCCCCCTCCCTCCCATCATAGAACCTTTTCCCCCAAGAGGCCAGGAGAGCCATGTTAAATTCCCTGAGATTAGGGACACCCAGGCCACCAAATTCCTTCTTTCTAGCCACAAGGCCCCAGTTAGCTAAATGGTATTTGTGAACCTCACCCATATTGCCCCAGAAAAAATGAGACATTTGGGAGGTGATCATATCAATAGCCCAGTTTGGGAATTTAACCATAGCCATAAGATATGAGGGAATGCTGGCAATACAAGTAGTTAATAAAATCAGCTTGCCTCTGTAAGATAAAAGTTTGCCTAGCCAACCAGCAATATTTTTTATAATCCTATCAATGATAGGTTGCAAGTCTTCCCTCCTCAGTTTTTTAAAATGAAGTGGCACACCAAGATATTTGAAAGGAAAGTCACCAAATTGACAACAAAAAATTTGGGCAAGTTCTCTAGACATTTGCTCAGATACATGAATGGTATGCAAATCACTTTTATGAAAATTGATTTTTAAGCCAGACAGCTTCTCAAAACAAGTCAGGATCCACTTCATTTTTTTTGCATATTCCACAGATTCTTGAATGAACAGAATAGTATCATCAGCATACTGTAAACTAACTACTCCACCCGGGATGGCATGTGGGAGAAGCCCACCAATCAAGCCATTATTAACAGCTTTAGCCAGCATTTTAGAAAAAACATCAGCCACCAGGTTAAAAAGAAGGGGGGAGTGGGGGTCCCCTTGTTTCAACCCTTTACCTCCAACAAAGTGTGGCCCATTTGTGTCATTGATTCTAACCTGAAATGTCCCATGTTTCAAGGTGCTAAGCACCCAACTAACCCATTTAACCCCAAAGCCTATAGAAAGAAGCATTTCCTTCAGGAATTCCCAGCTGACCCTATCATAAGCTTTCTCATAATCCAGTTTAAGAATCAACCCACTAGTGTTAGACCTATGGACCTCATGAATCACTTCATGGGCCATAACAACACTTTCCAATATAAATCCCCCTTTAATAAAGGCAGTTTGGTTATGTGAAATGAGTTTATCACAGATAGGGGAGGCCCTAGTATTCATAGCTTTGGAAAAGATTTTAACAGCACAGTTGCTAAGACTAATAGGTCTGAAATTCTTCATCTCTCTAGCTAGGGGGGCCTTAGGAATGAGAGTAATGATAGCATAGTTCAGTTTGTAAATATCTAACACCCCATTCTCAAAATCCCTGACCATCCACATAAAGTCATTCTTGATGAGATCCCAGAAGTTCTAATAAAAGAGGAATGATAACTCAAGTTCTGTCAATAAAAAATTTCAGTAGGCAAAAATAAAATAAAAACAACAATAATAATAAGAATAGACAACCCCAGCAGAAAAGAACTTGGCGTTGTCCGGATTTGAACCAGAGATCTTCCGCGTGTTAAACTGACGTGCTAGACCAACTACACCACAACACCTTTTGATTTTGTTAATGCAACAATATTATATATTTTGTTGAGACAATTATGACGTCACTATCAGCTGGACAAAAAGGAGCAAAATCAATTTGTGGTGGCGTCCGGGTTCAAACCGGAGATCTTTAGCGTGTAAAACTAACGAGAGAGAGAGAGAGAGGGAGAG